TACATTCTTCTTGATACCATCATACCCCAAGCTCCGATCCAACAAGATATCGGTCGATGTAACCCTTCTCACAGACCTTATATCACCAGTAACCGTAGATCTGTAGTCGGGAAGAATCCCGGTAGAATACGCGGAGCGGTGGTCCTCCCTATGAGGACTCGGGTAACTAGTGGGAGTAACCGAGGTACCATGGGTTGACTCCCTTTCTGCACACTGCGCATGAGAAGCATGACTCGTCTTTTCCTTAACACGTCTACGACGTACCTTGACTATAACATCAGTGTCACGATTACGTGGCACTTCGGTAGTCTTTCCTGAACGTGTAACAACCATTCCGAACTCAGATAACTCAAAGCTAGACTCCGTTAATATATATCGACAATCCGTAGCGACAACCTTAGTCCTCAGATGACTCAAAAACCCTAAATCCATAAGGGTTCGCAAAACCATAGCGAATGATCCAGTGCCCAATAGAGTGCAATCAATGGCCGCAAAACTATAGCAACACAATGAAGACCCTATTATCCATATCCTCCTCATATAGATATGGATCCCTATGTAAGCTAGTATAAGTCAGTAACTAGTAAAAGCCTTGTATAGAACTTATACCGGACTCAACTTAGCCTAACTTAACTTATAAAAGCCCGTACGTAAACACACAGCAGCGTGAAAGCAGCACGCATGTACATAAAGTAGCGCTCGCCTATGACCAGCATCACAGAATCCTTAGTGTCATACCTCGCGCCGTACGGATGCGCGCATTACATATGACAATACTTGAGCATGAACTCACCACTTCAGGCCGCATCCCGTAGCAGTGTACTATTGTAGCCAGCCAGAGCCAGTACTACTGGAGATCCTGATACTACTGATAGCCTCACCATCAGAGTACTGGTATGATTGCCCCGCAAACACGAAATTGAAGTTCCGAACGACGAAGTCGATTTTCCTAAAAGGACGAAATTGAAGGTCTGAAGGTATACTCGACGAAATTGAAAGTTCTATGACAAATTCGAAGGTTCGAAAGTCGAAATTGAAAGTTCTATTAGAACGACTTTGAACTTCCTATCGACTTCGGACGAACTTGAATGTTCTATGACGAAGTTGAAAGTTCTAATTGCGAATATGATCTTCCCGTTTCGGATTCGTACCTCCAACTTCGCGCGTCCCGACGAAATTGATGGTTCCAAAGACGAACTAGATGTTTAAAAGGTGTAGACTAGCACCGAGAGTTTCTGGCTAGACGAGCAGATGAGCCTCCTCAGCCCTTGCGTTTGCTGTTTGTATTCCCGCCTGTTGCCACTCTAAGACTGTTTGTGGGATGACTTATCTCGATGAAATGAAACAAGTCCATATTGATGGGAAAACCAGCTACACTGTGAGCGTCCCCCATCTAAGCTTCTCAACGGGCATCACTCTCAGGTTCCAAGGCACATGGAATTCATTCGTAAGGTGGGTTCGGGCGCTTATGGAACAGTAGCGAGCTTCAGTGATGGGAGAGGTGCGTTTATGTCTTTTGTTTTGTGAAGACAGAGTCGTTTGTTCTGCTCTAATCAGACCACAAGGTTGCGGTGAAAAAGGTACAGAATGCCTTTGATGATTTAATTGATGCCAAACGTATCCTCAGAGAGATTAAGCTATTGAGGTACTTGCCGGCGTGCCTCTTTAAGTATGACTACCATCGTACATCAGGACTTTTGACCATGATAACATTGTGCGTATCCTGGACATGTATCCACCCCAAAGCCCTGATTTCGAAGATATCTATATTGTAAGATGCTTCCTACCCTGATCGGTACCTGTAGCCGTAGGTGACAGACCTGATGGAGACGGATCTCCATCGTGTTATATACTCTAAGCAGAGCCTCACGGATGAGCACTATCAGTAGCCTCTTATATTCTAGTTACCCTACTACTATCTATACAGATACTTTATATATCAGATGTTGAGGGGCCTCAAGTACCTCCACTCAGCTAACGTTATCCATAGAGACCTCAAACCGAGCAATATTCTTGTCAATAAGTACACTCGAATAGTCGTGCAGAAAACCTCGGAAAATATCTTATGCACCTCTGTTATGAATTTCAAGTGTCTGGTGATCGAATTATAGTATGTGTAGAGTCAATTAGTCAGATATGGCGGTTGAAGCACTGCTATGATGTTGTCAGGAACTGTGATTTAAAGATTTGTGATTTCGGTCTGGCACGTGGATTTTCACATGGATGCGATGATAGTAACCCGGATCCGAACCTCACTGACTATGTCGTTACGAGGTCCTGACTCCTACTACTACTGCTCCATCTACTCTTGCTATAGGTGGTACCGCGCCCCAGAAGTCGTCCTGCTTGCTTCCGAGTATACCAAAGCGATTGATGTGTGGTAAGGTGGTTCGCTGGTGACCAGGGATGAGTTAGGGCATGTTTTGTATCTTTTATTCAGGGCTGTTGGATGCATATTATGTGAGTTACTTGGGCGTAGAGCTCTATTCACGGGTAAGGATCATCTTGACCAGATCAAGAAGATAATAGAGGTTTCCGGTACGGGCGTATGATGGCTGGCTAGATATCATTCACAGTACACTAGGTATGCCTACAGAAGAGGAACTGCATTGGTTACCACCTGATGGACCAGCTCGACGGTAGGCTCATATTCGTTCTTCTCCGAGCACCGCTCCCTCAAGTTTCATAAGAAAGTGTCCACAGTCTCGCGGTAAAGACATGCATGAACTCTACCCAGAGGCGAACGCTTTAGCTATCGATGTGAGTTACTGTGGTATTGATATTAAGTGATGGATAGTTGTGTGTAGTTGGTGAGTCTGATGTTGCAATTCGACCCGACCAGGCGCATCTCTGTGGAGCAATCCTTGAAGCACCCTTACTTGGAGGGATATCACAGTCCAGATGACGAACCAGAGGCTGAACGGTATTCAGGGCATTGCCTCCAACAGTGATGACTGTTATTGGTAGGCCGGTCGATTGGACCTTCGATAACTTTAAGCCTACTAAACGACTGTTACAGAACTATGTCTACTGTGAATGCGCTCGTTTTCATCCAGGTTTGCTGCAGCGAGATGCTGCTCTATTCGCGCAGAGGTGGTTAGGCTTTGGTGTGAGTCTATGGAAATGACGTTGATCCTTAGGGGGCTCGATATAGCATTACGTGAGTATGGACTACTCTGAAGGAAGCGGCAGTAGCAAGTGAAGCTCTTATTCATTTCGAACCCTCATTATCATATCATACGTAACCTGTCTTATTTTTGAAGGGGCTGATCAGGTAGGCTGTGAAACGATATGTGCCGATGAGAGGTAGGGGTGATAGCAGCAAACATTTAAAGTGTTGTATTACTCATTAGCAGTAGCTGCATTGATAATATGAATTTACGTCACTTTTGATCGAGCTTGTGTTTTATTCTGGCCTCAGTCATCGCATAGTTACTACCACTACTTCTTCCTTATGCCACACTCGTCTTCCTCTATTACGAATTTCCGTAGTAAACTTGCGGCAGCAGCAGCAGTGTGTAGTGGTGCAGTGGGTCTGTTATACTACTACTATTCCTATCGATGCATTAATAACATAGCAGATGAGGACTATCCTCTCGATGGTTTGTCGCTAGCAGAGTTGCAGGCGAGAATAGGGGCCCAGCAGGAGAAGGCGAAACGAAACGGTTCGTTGATTTCCGTACCCACGACCGAGGAAGTCCTGGAGGACGGCCGGGTTAGGGTAGCTGAGAATTTGAAGTGGAAGCCCAAGGGATCTAGTGTGGCGAAACGGAACCCTTTCCTACCTCCATACGATTCTGGTCTGTGTATTGGAGATATGATGGAAACGGGCCACAGGCTGTTGCTGAATAAATACGCTGTGATGCCTGGGCATGTATTGGTCGTTACTAAGCTATATTTCAACCAGAATGATTCCCTCACTTGGGGGGATTTTAAAGCAGTTCATAGAATATTGAGATGCCTAGGAGATAAGGCCGTTGCTTTCTTCAATCATGGACCCGAGTCGGGCTTTAGTCAAACTCATAGGCATATACAGGTGGTAGCTCGTCACTTCGGGACTTCCACAGGTGTACCCATTTTGGTCAGATCGTCCCGAATGTCGAGTACCCCATGAAGGCTGCCTATACAGAAGGAAGGCAGGTTGGATTTAAGTATGCTACGAGGCCAGTAGCTAGCATTGAGGCCGTTGACTCGGTAGGCTGGATGATGGTGCTGCTCATCGTGGTGGGACTGTCCAGACAGGCACTAAAGGAGCTGGGCTTGAGCTGGTCCCCTAGCAGTAGTTTCAACATGCTATGGACATTGGATGGCCCTCTGGTGGTGATACCGCGCTCGAGGGATGCTACAAAGGAGGGAGGAGTTGGGGTCAATGGCTTAGGGTAATTATATGGTAGACGCATTAAGGGGATCTGTTATACGTAGATGCGGATCATAGGTTGAACTATGCGGATTGGATCGACCCTTAGGTTCACAGGCTCGTTGTTCGTCAAATCGCAAGCTCAACTACGTGCTGTGAAACAGCAGACAATTCTTGAGGTACTTCCCCATACCAACATCTGCAGCAACGGTTGTTGTGAGCCTTGTTACCATCTCGGTTCTCTGGCAGGTCCTTCGTGAAGTAGGTATCCGAGCTAAGTTGTGAATAAACTATTCAATTGTCATCGTATCGTCTAGTGCTACAGTCAAACCTCGTTACATTCGTCCGTATGAGGCTGCTCCCTATACCCAGTGTTGAGTTTGTCATGTATATGGTCAATGCATCTGTTGTTGTTGTAGTAGTGGTGGTGTTGTAGTAATAACACAGCTACTGCTGCTGCTGAGAGGGTATGGAATTCGAACAGCAAGTGGGGCAAGTGCCTCTACCACGTTTTGGCCATACATGTACACTCATCGGGGAGGCTCGAGTGGTCTTATTCGGTGGTGCTACTGGTGATACTGGAAGGTAATAGTAGACCTCATGGTCAAAAGGCGGCCACTATAAAGGATTCGGCAGACCCTTTACGAGAGATGTTCTTATAGTTTTTCGTTGCCTCCGCTTCGCTATACTCTAGGGTGTCGGGGGCAGTAGTTGGTAAAATATGGGTAGAGGGTACCGCGAATGATGGCATGTATCCTCTACGCTCGGCTAAGGAAGGCCTCTGGTTCATCCCCTCTGATACTTGGATGGGTCGTACTGTGTTTAGGTACAATATTACTGATGACACATACGTCCTGAATGTCGAGGCTAACATATGGAGGAGAGTTGATATGCGGAGAGGTAGTATCTTGGGTAGTGAATGCTCAACTCAGACGAGTCGGTACTCAGGTTCCTCAGCTCCGAGTCCTAGAGCGGCTCATGCTGCTGTGTGTGTTGACCACATGCAACTGGTAAGCCGATCGTTGAGTGAGGTATCTACTGCTGCCAGTTGTCGGAAAGATGGTATTTAGGTAGTCTTCGGTGGTGCTACTGGAGGAGGCAGTCTGAGCAACGATGACCTGTACTACCTTCATTGGTTTACGGTCTATGGCCTGCGACCTTAGGTACCTTTTGGACTACCGTAATGAGGATAGGCCGGAGTGGGTAACAATACCCATAGGGAAAGGCCCAACGCCTGGGAAGCGGTAGGTCCTCTGTTGCGGTGGTGATACTGGGTATTGGACCGGTCTAGGTACGGCCACACGATGGTCTTCCACAAGCCGGTGCTTATTGTGTATGCTGGGAACAATGGAACGGTGAGTATCTTGAGGTTCAATCACTGATGATACGGATGAGGCCCAATGACATACTTCCTATCATGAATTTACTGACTGCACCCTTGCTCTGTGTCGATGAGCCTACCTCAGGAAACCATGTCGGATATATGGATCTTGGATGTTGATCGATCTCCCTTTCTGTGGAACAAGGTGGACCCTATGGGAGGAGGGAAGCCAGCCCCAGTGCCCAGAGTGAGGAGGACCTTCTACTCGTGCTGCTGCTGCCCTTACTGCTGCTCTTACTGCTGCTCTTACTGCTTCTCTTTCTTCGTAGGCCTACCACTCAGCTGACGTGTGCCGAGAGGGCCCGGCCACAGGTATGATGGTGGTGTTCGGTGGAAGGACGGCGGATAATCAGTCCCTTAACGATGTTTGGGGCCTCAGGCAGCACAGAGATGGCAGGTGCTACTAATACGACCAGTAATATGCTCGTGAAGGACGTAGAGTCGACCTTTAGGTGGGACTGGGTCGAGGCACCCACGAAGAAAGGAGAGACCCCCGAGGCCCGATTCCAACACGTGGCTGTCTTCGCTCATACTAAACTCATCATTGGTATGTGAATCCGGGGCGAGGGCTTTCAGTAGAGTTGCTGTTTCAGTTGGTGGTCGTTCTGGTGACGTGAGCCGGTCGTTGGGGACCTGTGTCTACGATACGGAACAATGCGAGTGGAGGGAAATACCCAGTGTTCAACGCTTCCGTCATGCTACGTGGATGCTGGGGCCTTTACTGTTCACGTGAGTTCAGGAGCCACTAGGGTGTCTATGGGTATGGTTACGCTAGGTATGGTGGCTTCAATCATGTGCATCCTTCTGCCCCGACCAACGATCTACAACTGTTGGACATTGAGAGGGTGAGTGATAGTAGGAAAAGCAGCTGAGCTCAGTAGTTTTCTCACGTCTCATTATTGAAGTTTCCACACAACTTTGGGCGAAATTGTTGAGAAACCTCGAAGGAATTATAAATTTTTTCTCGACATTTTCATCATGTCACCAACACATGAAGTTCCCTTTGTGCATATCTCCCCACACTGAGTAGAAATAGAACATGCTGCTGCACTCCGGTGTAGGCACTTGGGCTGGTACTCCCACGAGCGGCGGCTCCCCCATCGGAGATAGTGACGAACCAGCATCAGGAGCAGATAAGATCCGCTATGGGCTACGACGCGGTCATGGCAGATGCTAGAGGTCAACCACAGCAACAGCAGCAGACCCAGCAACAGCAGATGGAATACGTATGATGGTATGGGGTTGAGGTCATCAGTTGAGGGTGCTTCTAGGTATATCAAGGGCCGTCGTCGAACCCTCCATCATCAGCTCGATCTTCATCGTCTTTGTCGCCCTCACTACGAGAGGGCCTCGAGACGAAGCCATGGGGTCCAATAGGGGCACCTGCATTGGCAGATAAGGTCTACATAGCTTGTGATAGGGACCTGACGGCCGGAGCGGTAGGGAAGACCAGTCTTATAGTTGGCATCATCTCGTATGCTGTCCTAGGTGCATCAGGTTGGCCTAGATGCTCTTGGGGAGGAGTCCAAACGTATACGCCCACCCGGGTCTAGGCCTGTGGTCAGTCCTACTAAGGCGCGACAGAAGGATGATGAAGGATCACTGCATCACTTTGTAAGACCTCCTATTGTCTTCCCATATCTCAAGGCCCCACGCATGTATTTCCCGTGTTTACTCACAGACGTGGTTCGATGCTCGTACTAGGTCGTTAAAACTCTCCTGTGTAGACTGTTCTCGAAATGGTGATCAGGTGATCGAGCAACTGCTGCGGCCAGAGTCGTGGCAGCCCGATTTGGACCCCAACAGATTCATCTTGCAGCCCTCAGAGGTCCGACAACTGTGCAAATCGGCACTGCAGTTGTTTAGGAAGCAACCAATGGTGGGTGACACTGACGGTGACACGCTGTTCCCCAGTATCACGAGAATAGGTGTTGAAGCTGCGGGCACCCATCAAAGTATACGGCGATATCCATGGGCAGTTCATGGACCTGATGCGGCTGTTCCAAAGGTCGGCTATTCGAAGGTCGACAGCTCACGTGCTGTTATGATAGGTATGCTGCACCAACTGACGGCCCAGGAGGGGACATTGAAACGATGGATTACCTTTTTCTTGGGGACTATGTCGATCGAGGATCCTTCTCTCTAGAGACTATCTGCCTACTGCTAGCCTTGAAGATCAAGTGGGCATAATGCCTGCCTTATCGTATGCCAGGTGAGATGCCATCAGGTACCCGAATCAAATCCATCTTATAAGGGGGAACCATGAGGACCCTGCGATAAATTCTTCCTATGGTTTCCGCGATGAATGTAAACGACGTCTAAGGGATGATGTCGACAATAACCCCAACTGCAGTTGGGCGTGGTTCAACAAAGTGAGCACCGTCATCGGTTGTGGGTTCAGTAGCTATTCAGGTTTTTGAATGGATGCCCTGTGGGGCCGTCATTGAGGACCGCATCCTCTGCATTCATGGTGGCATCGGAGGCAGTATCGATAAAGTCAGCTTACTCGACTCTGGTGTCAGTACATTCTGACTATTCAGGTGCAGCAGATAGCTGAGCTCGAGCGGCCTTTGGTCGTGGCCCAAACACCGTTGAGTATGCTCGATCAGCAAGTGACGGATCTGCTATGGTAGGTGGTCATGCACTAGCCCAGCTGATGGTGATGGCAGGTCCGACCCAACCGATTCAGATGACATCTTTGGGGTCACTTCTAATGAGACCAGAGACCCCGACGGGTCGGGGCATATTGTTAAGTTCGGTCCAGACAGGTAAGTCTTGCTGGGCTGCATACTGGTGTCAGTTGTCTCGCTCAGAGTTGTGCAGTTCTTGGAGGAGAATGCACCCTTGACGATGATAATCAGGGCTCATGAATGTGTCATGGACGGCTTTGAAAGATTTGCTGATGGTCGCCTAATTACCCTTTTCTCGGCCACAGACTATTGTGGGCATCATAAGAATGCAGGTCAGTCGAGGCACCCTCACTATTACGGCCAATATCCTTAGTAGGCGCTTTGCTGTTCATACGTCGGGACCTGACGATAGTGCCCAAGCTCATCTATCCAGTAGATCGGGCCAATCTTGGTTTCGGAGCCCACGACACTCCGCCTCCTGGAGGGCGTTCTGATATACAACAACATCGTCTACGTATCCAGTACGTTGAGAGAGGTCTCTGTTGTGGATCCCTCATCGTCTTGGCTCAGGCCTAACTGGGATGCTTCTATTACCAGCGCGCGCCCGCCGACTCCTCCGAGGCCCAGTAGGGATGTCCATACTCCCACGGAGTCTCATCCCTACTCTCACAACCACCCTCATGAGAATAGCATCCCTCTACCTTCTGCCGCGTGGGCTTAATGACGGTACCATTAAGATTGTATCACTGTACCTATTATACGCATGCCTCGGAGCTCAGTATTCTTAGCAACTATTCAAGCTAATCATCCTCTGTCTCATTAGCCTCCTAGTGTCTTTCAATTTCATTATCGCTTACTTGAGTTGAACAATCAGGCAAACGTGGTTAGTGTTGTCGGAGTCTCGAAACTGATTTTCATACTACAGCCATGCTCTGGTAGTTATCACTCGTGTCTGATCACTCGTTTCTCTGCAGTAGCATAGACGGGAATCACCCAGTGTTAAGATCTCATTTTTATAAGAAAAAGGAATGTAAAGCCTCTCCCTGTCGCACTTGATCGCCGCGATCATAGATCATACTAGCTAGATCATGCATAACATGACCATGAGTAGTCCAGCGTTCATTCCTAGTCGTAGCGGAGTTTTGCGGCCATGTGCTTGGCGTAGTAGGATAGGATCTCTTTGTGGTGGGAAGATCCTCTATGGTTACCAATGCTGACTTATCACCGATGATGTGTCCTGTTTGGGGCGTCGGCCGTTCACCTTCAAACTCTTCGTGCTTGTGTGTTTTCAACCAGGGACGCTAGGAGTGCTATCAATTCGCTACCAGTAGTGCTATCACATACCGACGACCCATATAGGCTCAATGATGACTGGCTGATGACTCAATCGCTTGACCAATGGTCTAACTGGCACGCTGTCTTTGCAGTGCCTGGTAGGCTTTCCTCGACCTGGAACATGGCATCCCCATCGGAGGCTGCCGCGTCCGCCGTAACTGGGTCATCGGCCTCGAGGACCAGACCGTACGCTGACGGTTTGCTTCCCTCCTTTATGGACACCTTTCCCTTGCCAGAGTCTCCACTCCCCCAGCAGCTGCCACTGGTGGGGTCTTCAACGCCTTAGCGGACTTCTTGTCGGACCAGGCAACTTTGAATACCATGACGAGTAGTGAAGCCAGGAAGGCTTCCGAGGAAGCTGCGAACCTTGTAAGTTTTATCTCTGAGAGGAGCCCTCATCATCTTGGCCTGCCAGTTGCACCGAGCCGCCAGTCTAATTCGCGACCAGCGCTGTGGGGATAAGAAAGAACCATCATTCGGAGGGGTCAGCACTGAGGAAAGATTTTATGAGAATCTCAGGCTGCTGACGCATTCCCTCAGTCATTATCATAGTGCACTAACTACTGGTGATGAATTCAATGCCTCCTCACTCTCCAGTGGGCATCATCTCAGCTCCGAGCAGTGCAGCTCCCTCCACCTTGGGAGCTTCTGGCTCATCGTCATCATCCTCGAGCAGTTGCTCTCAGGGTTTCCCGACTGCGTCCGCTGAGGGCATCGTAATGGATATTCTCGGAAGTGAGTTCTTGTGGTGATCATCAGGACCTGACCTGTGTCATTTCAGGTAGCACTGTGAAGTCAGATGAGGAGCTGAATCGGCGTCTCGACGATCTTATCGCATCTCCAGCGTGTGATGTGACCCCAACAGTCGATCGCTCGGTCCCCTTGGACGTACTCCGAGGGAGAAGTCGGGATAAGGGCTCCTGTAGCCAGACCTCATCTGCTGAGGATCAGCGTTGAGTTTCTAGATCCGAGGTCACCCTCTGGCGGCCATACCTTGGGGACACTGCTACAGGAAGGCCAACACTCAGATCACTACATACCTAGAGCCCCTCGGTGAGCAAGGATGGTGGCAGCTTCCCAGATCGATTCCATCATCACAGTCTGCCTGGCTACCCTGATCCTCCGCCAGACGAATGGGGTGACTGGGACGAGTACCGGGATGACCGTGACCCCGGGTACCGCGTGCGAGATGTGGAAGAGAACGAGCTTATGCGGGAGATAGCCCTCAATGAGCGTCAGGGCAGAGGCAGTATAGCTAGCCATGTAGCTTGCTCAGCTCCGCCTCCTCACTCCTATTGTGCCGTAATAGGCCCCTCCAACCCTTGATGGACTTGATCGGCCCTCGGGCGATACCAACGTTGGAGTGGATGACGATGATGAGCTGCTGCTGGTACCGGCACTCTGTGGTCCTTGTCCCTTGCTGCTCGATCGTCCCACAGAATTTGCATACGGCTATTACTATTTTACAGGCCCATCCTGTCGCCTCTGCTGTTGATGGAAATGCTTCACCTTCCACGTCAGAGGAAGGCAACCATTCCTCGTGTACTGTGGTATCCCTTCCGAAGATGCCTTGTCCGTTCAACTCAGGTTCTGAACCGGAGAAGCCTCCGAGTCCGTCATTCGGAAGGTCAGGAGCGGACATTCCTAAAGACCGTGTGCCGCCGGCCGATACTTCACAACACTATCCATCATCATCACCAGCAGCGGCAGCAGCAGCAGCAGCGGGCCGAGTCACGTACCAGCTTGAGGTGAGGCTACTGCCTTCTGTTACCAAGCGATGCGAGATATTGGACGTTTGTGCGGGTATTATAGTCGGAAATCCACATACGAAATAACATTTCACATACTCACGGAAATCTACTAGGCGGGATCGCTCTTCTGCATCACTCGGTAGTTCGCCAGAGGTCACAACTCTCTGTGTGCTCGGCCTTCACCTGTGGATGTACGATCAGATACGATGCCTTTGGGAAAGCCCATCGCGTTACTGTTGTGAAAGCTGAGGTCGTAGCTCGCCATGATGCTGCCATGTGGCGGAGGAATAATCTCGTTTATGGCCATCCTAGATCTGCCAGCCGGGACGATTTTTATCCCCTCAAATGGTAGGACCATGCCACATCACAGGCTTCCAGCGGGAGTCTGCAGGCACCGTGAGCCGTCCCTAGAGGCTATCCCAACGGTTGGTAGCAAGGCCCTGCGGACGCCCCCAAGGGCCGAGTCTTGTAAGTCCATCCGTGGCAGTGGGGGTCATTAGCCTTGCCACTGAAGGCACATACGATGTCCTCCCTTTGAATGTGGTCTATGAACGGAACAGAACCGGTTTTGAGGAGACCAAGGAGTTCCAAGTCGTCACTAACATGGTCATTGCAGCGAGGTAGTCCTGAGAAGTGCCCCCAAGTAGGGCCGCGCAGTCTCTTGCGGGCTCGAGGGAGTAACACAGGATTATCCTCATCCTGAGATCACTGTGGACTGGTTGTCGTTCGGCTGGCTTCCCCAGTGCGTTGGTAGGTATCGAGTGGTGGGTTTTCTGGGATCAGCGGCCTTCAGCAAAGCGGTCCAAGCTTGGGACATGCGATTCAATCAACACGTGATATCTAATATCCTCTACTTGCTCTGTTCATGCTTGCGCGATAGGTCTGTATGAAGATCATCAAGAATGATAAGGACTTCTTCGACCAGAGCTTGGATGAGATCAAACTACTCAGCCTACTGCAGTTGAACGCCCCTGATGGGGACATTGACAAGACCAGATGCCTGAGGTAGGACCCATTAGAAGGCGTTATCGGCTTCAGCCTGCATCCTTGGTTTTCCCAGGATGATCGATTACTTTTATCATAAGGAACATCTCATAATTGTCACGGAACTGCTGAGGGATAATCTGTGAGTTCTGTTTCGAGGGGGACGAGGATTGCGTTGCCTTACTGACCAGGTATGAATTCTCGAAGCTTACACGAGTGAGCTCGCCACCCCAGCCCTTGTCGCCTGTCCCAGCGTTTGGGAGCCCGGTTGCTACCCCTCCGACAACGCCATTGTTGGTATCCTTGGGAGGCTATCTCGCTCCGCCGTTGAGGTCGTGTGTCAGGAGCAGGCCCCTGTGTCCCAGTACTTCACCATTGGTCGTCTGCAGAAGATCACGCACCAGGTGCATAGGGTCCATCTCAGCCATAGTCTAATACACCAACTCTCGTCAACTCTGCAGTTCCGCCTGTGTATGGTATATATCCTCATAGGTCTTAACAGCCTTGGAGTACATCCACTCTATGGGCCTCATGCACTGTGATTTGAAGCCTGAGAATATCTTACTCCAGAGCTACACCACAGCTTCCGTGAAGGTGGTCATAGTGCCCTACCTCCCTTGAGCCAACAGGCCGTCCTCGGGTCAGGTCATCGACTTTGGCAGTAGTTGCTTCATCACGGACCACCTAGCTACCTATATTCAGAGCAGATGCTACCGCGCTCCAGAGGTCAGCGTCGCTCCTGTCTACCGTCCATTGCTCGTGTTCAGGTCATCCTGGGGCTGTCCTATGATACATCGATCGACATCTGGTCACTCGGTTGCATAGTGGCTGAGCTTTGGACCTCAACAGTTCTGTTTCAGAACGATTCCGTAGGCCCGAGGTGGTCATCCGTCCGATCTATTGGTGTGTTCAGATCCAGAGTCTTCTTGCTCGTGTTATAGGGATTATTGGTCCTTTCCCAGAGCATATGATGCGACTGGGGAAGTAGGTGTATCATCATGTAGCAGAGAGTAGACTATTTGTGATTAGGCTCATACCTCGCTACTTCACCCGGGATCGCCAGATCTACATGGAGCATCCACCGGTGCATGGCATGAGGGATATGAGCACTTCGAGATCGGCATCATGGGGTGAGGCTGGTCGATTCCTGATGGCATCACAGACATGAGCATCACAGATAACCGCCAGCGCGCCTCGCCACCCTCGACGCCTCGGTTACTCCAGATCCTCGTTCCCAAAGAGACTAGTCTACACCAACGCATGCGTAGGAAACCTAGCATTCCGCTAGAGGGGGACCTCTTGTATTAGGCACGAACGATGAGGCATTCCTCGACTTCATCACCCAGTGCCTCCAACTCGATCCTAACTTGAGGCCTACTGCCCGAGAAGCCCTGCAGCATCCGTGGCTGACTAAGTCAAGGTGGCTGTAGCTCTACGGTTTTGCATACATCTTTCTTGAGCAGGTACCCAGATGGTTTGACGGATTGAAGGTCACACACATCAATCGACTTTTCAAGAATGCCCCTGTCGTGTTGCTTAATCGTATTCTTCCACCCTCTAAATTGCCTGTGCTGGTTGTGATAATCTAGTAATGGTGCGAAATCGTGTTGAGACTACTTGCGACTCAACACCATGATATTCTTACAGTGCATAAGACCATGTCACAAAATAACAGCAGCAGGACTTATGACCAACCGATAGATTGGAAGACTAGTTGCCGTCAGTAGATAGAGGGATCGGTGAGATAGACTCTATCCCAGAGAAGCTCAATAGCGCATTCCCACGACTGCAACCATTCTCGACCTGAAGAAGTCTCACTCATTATTTGCCAAGAGGACCTCGTTTGTACTGCCAGTCGCGCCTCCGCGATCTGTCCGAGCAAGAGCAGCAATCATTGAGATGTGAGATGTCCATCTCCATAGTGACCTTATACGAGCTCCTCTCTGGATGCTTGGTCTTGATCCCTTTCAGAAAGTTGAAGTTTGCTAGACCTCTGGTGGAGGGATCGATTCTTCGTGGCCTCGATCGACTCACAAGTAAATGATCGAATCCGGCAGCCTTGCATGGCTCCTCTGTGGATGTCGATTAAGTACGTGCTTGTAGAGTTTGTTTGAGGAAATGCACCGCGAAGTCATTCTATCTCTTGGAGATGTCGTATATACTACCACTGACGACCGTATGATCCTCACTGAGGATTCCTCAGTACCCGAGAGTCTATTTTTTCCCAACGGCTCTGTCACCAATAAGACAACAAATCATATAGCAAATGCTCTCACTCACTCAACAACTTTACTTTCTGACGTTATCCTATGTATTTGGATGTTCTGTTGCCACTCAGTGGAAGCCACTGTATTCGTTACGAAGCCTTTGTCGCACTATAGTTCGTGAGTGATGCCGACTCAAGATGTTATTGTTAGATACTTGCAAGGAGTGATCGACACGCGGTAGAAGAACTCATTGAGTATCTCAGCTTTGAGTCTTCTGCGCTCCGAGGAAAGCTTCCATACTGCTACTAGTTTACCTGCTGTGCTTCAGGCCAGTATGAGACCCGCTCCAGAAGGCCCACTAAGCCCTTCTCTGTCCCACAACGCAACATAGCGGTTACATGGTCACCATCAAGAACAGCTATACAGCGAATACAAAAAATTATTTGAAGACCTTTTCGTGAGTCGGCGAAGGGTGGCGGGGCTCCTTTGGCTCCGAGTAGTCACCGAGCGTAAGAATGTCCAACTGAGAAAGATACTCAAGTAAAAACTCAGCTTGGATTCACGGATGCATCCGAACTTTCGAACCGCGATACTGCTGAGATCTTTCTTACAACTTTAGCAATGGAAAAGAGGCTCTTCATTCCGGCTACGACATTCGGGCTGCTGGTGTTAAATCGTCGCCCAGAACCATCTTCGGACAGCTCGGATTTAAAAGAAGGCATCAAATCCACACCCGGTGGTGCAACCGAAGAGACGGCAATTAGATAGGCTATAAAAACATCTCTGCAGAGTTCCGATATCCTTGCATTTTCGGCAATTCCATCTCGAGGGAATACTAGCAGCGTTTCCAGCTTCGTCATCAATCCGTCTGGTTTGTGGAATATACCCCTGATAAAGGGAGAGTCCGGGCTAGGTTAGCTCTGTGAATTTCCCGCGCATCTTACTCGGGCCCTTGGATGTAGTTAATATCGAGCGATCCGCTGAGTCCAAGTTCGTAGTGCCCTAGGAATCCATTGGACACGGTGAAGCGGCACATAGTATCGTCCTGTCAAACATGTCCAATGCAGGGCAAAGCAGCACGATGCAGCACGCACTGTTGCTTCTATGAAGAGGCGAACGCTCCGTGTAGAGTCGGAATAGCAGCTACCCCTGATGCTTACATTGAACGTCACTTTTTGGAGCTCCTTTTTCGTGATGGGATTTCGCTCCTTGGCCTCCATAGTTTTCGCTATGAGTTTACAAGCCAGACTATCCAGACGGACCTCATAGACCTTCGGACCAAACTCCCAGTCCGACAAGGGCATCCATGCGCGCTCCATCCATAGTAGTTTCGCTTTGTATCGAGTTAGTCCCGATATCCCTTCTGCGTTATTCTTCCTATCTTTCAAAACATATTCTAGTACTCGGTGAAGCCCATTCCGACAACTTTCGGCTTTATCAGAGGATCGAGGAGTGTGCCACCTCTGTTTTACCAACCTAAAAGACTCCACAACCTCCAACTCGGCCAGTGAGTTCGAATCGGTAGGTTTTTGATGAGATGGATATCAGACAGATTGATATATGTCACTTGCTGAGCTGATAGCACGTTGAAAGCCCCAGAGGTTACTTACGGCTTTATGAAGTTGATATCATTCCTCGTGGAGAAGTAAGTCTCGACCGAGCCGTCCTTCTTGATGGCCAGCCCATAATGGCCGTCGAATCTTGAATGCTCCGCAATAGGTGAGAATCGCGCGAGACAATATACGCCCTAAGCGGAAGTGGAACCACTCAAGGAAGATGTCTTTGTGGTTCTCTGTACCGTTACTACGCAGATCCATTCTTACATCTCGCAGAAAGTATCCGGGGATTGACCCTTCTTGTATCAATTTCGATACCCGGCTGTACAAGGCCGCCAGACTGGATTCCCATTCAAGTAGGAGCCCCGGGTCTACGGCGGCATCGTTTCCCTCAGCTATCCCATTCACAGTTGCTTGACTCTCCCCTTCGGAATAGGGTAGCGTGGACCCTCGGTTCCCGAGCACGGTCCCAGTGTGCAGCCAGCGAGCTAAAACTCGGTCAAAGCAGCAGTTATGCGCTTCGGCCGTCTCTGAGATCGTAAGTAAGCTACTAACGCCTTTCAAGCGCAAGCCGGGTCCTGGATACAAAGAGAGTCTGACACAGTAGAACGATGGTGGGAAGGGCGGGAATGAATAGCCGGCCTCACATGCCATCACTCAAGGCATAGATGCCATCCGAATCCTCTCTGAAATGGAGACTGTATTCGGCAGGAGTCGATAGGCATGCTCCATCATGACCGCATACTATCTGGTTGTATTTATATAGTAGAGTATGTGCTTTAAGGTCAACTGCCTGCAAAGATTCCAACCGTCTCAGGTGTCGTCCTTTCAGTGTTCGCGAACGTACCACGTTAATCGATTTCCCTTGCTCTGGGATCGCCTTTTTGATCTCCTCGAACAAAATACCAAGTAACACCCAGATAACTCCAGATTCCTTTTCTCGGTATATTCCATCTCCACCACGCTCTAGACTACTCATAATAAAGGACACCCGCGCCTTCTGCTGATCTGATGTCCCGAGTGGAATATGTTTCGGTCGCGACTCTGTGACATTCTCAGCCAGATCAACAGCTCGATGAAGATGAGTACTCAGAGCTCTCTGGCATTTCTCGGGACCGTCGAACGATACGAATGAGGACCGATCGATGAGATAGTGAGTCGGTATCAGCCTCAACCTATTAGCAAGAATTGTCATCGTTGATAATACTCGGTCGCTTTATGATCTCCTACTCGTTCCTGCGGATGAGTTTCACCTGTTGATAATCTGAGTCGAGCTCAAGGTAGATGTCGTCTTTTGCGATGGAGTGCAGTCCGCATTTTGAAGGGACCTGAGTGACTGGGATAGCAGCAATGTGCGCGAAAAATAAACATATATGAACCTGCTATGCTGCAATGCCCACCATCACGATGAGTTCATTCCGTAATCTTACATTTCTCAGCTCCACGCTCGTGCTCTCAACCTTGTTCAGAATTAGCACTGTGAACACGAGTGTTCTGCGCAACAGATCCGACATGAGGAAAAACCGCCGGAACAGCTACTGGAAGCGGCTAACTGCGATAATCTCAGATTAATCGGCCAGATCATTAATCTGGCCTGAGATTGCGTCCATCTATGCTGGTTGTGAATGTAGCGATCGAGCCCACTTAGTTGGTAACACAACCCTAAGGCCTGAACCCTTTGAACACCCATAGACTGAGCATGGGATGCGACAGGAGGAAACCCTCATCACACAGTTCGCACTCCTGATACATTATCACCGCTTATTCACCCATTTCCATGGAGTTTTTGCAGAAGCTTCAACATGTCGGATCTGTGAGACGATGTCTTGCTCAAACTCATCCTACGCGCTCACAGCCTGTGGAATCTGGTTTTCTAGATTGGGGGTAAATCCGTTTTCGTAGTTTTCCCAGGCCCTCTGAAAGTGCTGGATACCCCTCGCTCTTGAACCTCACGAATATCTCAAGAGGCCCTCGAGGAACTTTCTCCATCCCATCGGAACTAGGACTGCAGGCGAGATGGTGTACCCTGATGTACCATATAGGCGGCTACGGGCCCTATTGTGATTTCCCTCACATGAGGGCCGCATATGTAACAAAGCAAGAGAATTCATCATTCCATACTGCCGTTAGATGAATCGGAACAACATCCACGGTTGATCAGAAGGAGTGGATCTGGTACTAGCGGGCATGTATTTGTACGAAGATAAGCCGTCGTGAAGGAATGCCGACATATTAGCCTCATATGTCTTAGCCGTCCTCCTGATTCACTCGATTGAGGGATAGCTTAGTTTCTCTATTAGCAGACAGACACAGCTCAAGCACGGTGGTGATGAACCTGTCACCGACGTCGGCATCTTGACGCAGATCACGCAGCACTGACTCGTCCGCCAACATCTCTTTTTGGAGATTACTCCAACGCAGACCTCTCGATGTTGTCCTGTGTAAACGGCCAAGATGAAGATTCTCTCGAATGCTTGGAGACATCCTTCAGGCTTAGGGCCGAACACATTTCTGATTGCTTTTCATGGTGATGCCCCGTGACGGCGGACGGCGCCAAGCGGCGATATTCATTCGACGTTGAATTCGGATGCCGAATTGGAAGCTGTCGATGCGAGTGCGGTCTAAGGACATCAGCAGATAGTAGGAGTTCTGTCAAAGGCAAAGCTCAGGTGCCAGGCTCGACTTAGAAGCGTTGAAGGGGTAGCGGTTTCGATACCCATTCACCCTGGGGTTCAGCGAAAGTGGCGACTTCCGTGAGACAACTCTGATGAGGGCGAGCGAGATAGAATGTGCTTCTTTCATGCACTTGCATGTGCCAAACTGAGTCGGGGTGTTCTCTACTGGTCAAGCCGTAGGTCGGAGGGAGCAGGCAGTAAGACGTCTAAATGCCCTACTAATCCCTTCGAGATCTCGATGTCGCTATCTAGTTTGACAATGACTGGGCCTGGCCAGGGATAGGGTTAATGGGCGGGCGCCGTGAGACGTCTGCCGCTAGATAGGGTAGAGCATATCAGACATGGTCCCCATCAGTGGCATCGGCATTTTCAATAGTTCCTTATGGTGTAGCCTCTGGACGATGGTACTTCTTGACCTATATTCCGCACGAAGGGGAATAATCGAGTGCGCTAAGGACGCTTCGCCACGTTCGACCTCCGTGTATGCCTCTGGACTTTATAGTTACTTGCAAGAATCTCCGTAGCAGCACCCTTTGGTGGTCCTCGCTCACATCGTGTCTACGGTCGAATAAGGGGCGGTTCGAAGGCTCGAGAGCTGTTGTTCTTGCTTATTCAAAATTGATAGAATCAACGTGAAGCTCGATCCTCATAGTATATCGCTATTGTGTGGCACCCAATGAGTCCTTACTTGAATGTACCAGAGACTGGGTCGCCCTACCCGAATGCCTCAGTAGTTGGACCAGGTCTTTCGTGATTCGCTAGTATTCCCTAGTTTTTGCTACACCCTATCCCCCTACCTAATGTCGGGTTACGACCGCGCCATCACCGTATTCTCGCCCGATGGTCATCTCTTCCAAGTTGAGTAAGCACCGGTCACATCTCGGGAGTGTCTCAACTTGATATCGACTCTGTAAGATACGCGTTAGAGGCTGTGAGGAAGGGAACCACAGCCGTTGGAGTCCGAGGGAAGGACACTGCCGTCCTCGCTGTTGAGAGGAAGGCCATCCCTAAGCTTCAGGATCCCAGGTATGGCGCCTTCACGATGCCACCTCTACTAGTCGTGATCTCAGGACGGTTCGTAAGATCCTCAAAATCGATCAGCATGTGATGCTAGCCTTCGCTGGACTTAACGCGGACGCAAGGGTAATAGGGCGGGTCCGCGTGACTGGGGCCGACACTGTCCTTGATGATAGGTGTTGGCCAACAAGGCTCGTGTAGAGTGCCAAAGCTACCGTCTCAATGTGGAGGACCAACCAACGGTGGATTATGTCGCTCGATACATCGCGGGTGTCCAGCAGCAGTACACCTATAAGGGAGGTGATACCCTTGGGCTCATGTTGACCATTGTTGCCGTGTTCGTGCGTAAAACACCATTCAGGTGCCCGTCCTTTCGGAATCTCAACGCTGATTATCGGGCAAAACGAACTGAAGAAACCTCAATTGTAGGCCGGTTGGCGAAGTGATGATCAAGGCACTCGAATGGTAGATACCAAACGGACCCTTCTGGTTCGTTTAACTCGTGGAAGGCCGCTGCTATCGGGAGGAACAGCAAGACTGGTAATATATCTTAGCTTTGGGCCGCTATATATGCCGCTCTACAGTGAGCGATTACCTCGAGAAAAATTACAAGGAGGACATGGCCGAGCAAGAGACGATCGAAATGGCGGTCAGAGCTTTGCTAGAGGTGGTGGACCCTAGTGGGAAGAATGTTGAGGTTTGCCTCATGAAGCCTGATGGGACTCTCATCATGTTGGAAGACACTGTTGTAGAGGAGCTCTGCAAGGTAATATGATTTGTGGATGAATCTTGTGGGATCTTCGATCAGTCACTCGACGAGGGTATAGAGAAGGCCAGACAACAACAGCAGCGTGCCTGAGTTATAAACCAACATCATCACCATTTGTGAGCGCACTAAGAATGATAGTTTCTCACACTCACTTGCATGCGTCTCGTTGATCTTCCTTCTTATGCATGCTCACTGAAGACAGCCTTCCCTTTCCTGTCTCTTTACCCTATATGGTAGACGTCTCTCTCCGTGCACTGTGGCGGTTGACAATTCTTCGCTTCGCCATGGTGACGATCATTGTGAATCTGCCTTGCTCTCGCAAGGTCATAGATCGTCTTATCACCACTATGCTGATTCCTGTCGACATGCTAGCCCAGGGCGATCCCTTGATCATGAACACGGCCAGCAGCACCATTAGTCTGTGCCTATCCCTCATGGCTTCAGCATTGCTGCATCGACTATAACAGCAGTATATAAGACGATCCTTTTTTGACAACACCCTTTTGACATAGTCATGTACCATTCGAATCGATATTGCCCTCTGCCGACGATCTCGCTAGACGCCGAGTCTACGGGAGACTTTTTCGATTACCATCATCATTTTCGTACGGTGTTGAGGTGCATATCGCGTGTTGTATAGTATAGAGAGAGACCGCTCTTTACGGGCGTCCTCTCCCAAGCTGTGTCGGAACACACGATATAAGCTGTTGAGAGCACGGCAGGTATTGATATGATGATGAGTTCTGAGTGGCCAATCCTTATAGGGAAGTATTCGAGTATTCAGTGGTTACGCTTAGCTAGAACCTCGCCATAATGGGTAATGCCACGTCAGGTCTTTCCATATAGAGGTACTGGGGTTGATCACGGCTAGTGGACGATTCCACCGTGTTGGGGCGTAGTAATATCCATACCAGAGTGTTTAACAACACATGTATTCGCCGAGTACTATTCGGCCCTGGATAGTAGCACGACTTCACCTCCGATGTTCCCATACAATCCACTCTTGAGATGTTTGCCATCATGAAGTGTGGCTTGTGTTGTTAGTCGATGGTCAATTCTCTAGCGCTGCTTGGTAGATTAGGAGAGGATGGATGACAGGGGGCCCTCGGGGGAATCAGTAGTGCCCCTTGTACAAAGTGGAAGTGTCTCGACTCGCCCTAGTACGGCAACAGACTGGAATAGCATGACTAGTGGGGGAGGGGATAGGGGTCGGACGGTCGAGCAAGTGGACGAGATGGCGACTAACGGAACGGTAGGTGGTGCCCGAGCAATGCAGCTGATGAACCCTTCCGACAGGTCCTCAATTTGAAGGCGCGTTTCCTCATGCACTTGAATATGAGAAACTTTCCGGAGGCTTTGAAGGCAGCAGAAGAACGTAGATAATGAGTCTTGTCATCATTGCTGTGGCTGAGTTGGGTAACCTACTCAGTGTCTGCTCTGGAACCTGGGGACGCCACTGTAGAGGAGTTCCAAGTGGTGCTACGGAAATGGATGGATCTCCTTTGTCAGTCCCGAGGGACTAGTTTAATTGTACGTGTGGGTGCAGATACGAGAATCGATGATGACCATGATGATGATGATGATGATGATGATGATGATGATGATGAGGAAGAGGAGGAGAGCTCGGAGAAGTCCTCTTCCGATGGGGAGGACGATTAGGATGGAAATGGCATGCGCAGCCGTTCATGATTGTATGGGAGGTTTGGGTTGTCAATTAGAAGGGCAAACAGACGCGTGTATGGAGTAGCTATCGTTAGACCTTGCAAGACTTGACTATGCTACCTCGATATCTGACTCTCTTCTTTACTATCCCTTGCAGTTGGGGGGACCATTGTGGGCCACAAGATGTAGTTTACTCTGTCCTAGAGGACTGCCGAACCCCACATGCACGCGACGATGGCGCCAATCACATAAGCATCTTTGCTGAGAGGCTTTCACATGGAGACAGTAGTTGCGAGGTAGTCACCATCTAGAGGCTCTCGCCAGGGGAGGGTCTTGGCCAGGTCCCAGACCCTCTGCATGATATACCCTGCAGCACGAGCTGTGAGAAGGGGGAGATCTATACCGGGCATCTGCTAAATCACCACATAGAGGGCCGATGTGCTAAATGCCAGAACGGCCAGTGAGAGATTTTCGACTTTTTTGTCATAGTCGATGAGCCTTATAGTGGTAGTGGGTAGATACAGTATCGGTGGAGGGTTTGTTCAATCGTCCTGGGCTAGGGAGGGAGCCCATCCATCTATGAAGACCTGGTGTGTCCATTCTCGGGGTTCTGGCTTTGGTTGGGCCGTCGGGGAGACCTGGATGCCCTTTAGACCCAATACGAGCACGCCCGACGACAGTCACGGCCCTTGTCAGTATCCCTCTGTTGCTGTTGTTGAGTCTAGGTGAGTACCATTAGGCATGAGCTGGGCAGTGAGTGAAGATAGCGATATGGTGCACTCCGGGGTAAACTACAACAAGCCAGATATAGACAGTGTCCTTCGACTACAGGACAACTGGCTTAGGGACGGCGAGGTCCGCTTTGTGTATATGGTAGAAGGACAGCAGCTGTTGAGGCAGGGACATGTCGCACAGGTAGACGGTGAGGACCAATTCGATGGCTTCCGATTCATAGTCGATGGCGCTACAATGATGGGCCCAGAGTACACCACAATGGACGATGATGGCAATCTTGTATGGAAGGAGGTGGGCTCCTTTGCTATCTGGCTGGCTACGTCGAACCCTGGTACAGGGAGCTGTGCCCTTGGAAGCGGGACCACACACGTTAGAATGGGTCTATTCAAAGGATATGTCGGAGGATTACGGCTTCGATCGAGCTTGGGTACGCTCGATAGAGCTCCATGGCACCCGGGCTGTTGACACTCACTGCCTCCCTTGCCCATATGGCGACCAACGTGAGATCCGCATCCCCCCTTCGGAGGGTGGCAGATTGCTCTCAGGGCTCCTCACGAGCACTGTAAGAGAGCAGTGCTTGTCTTGTGGTAGGGATGAGTACCCTGATCACAATACCACCACATGTCAGCCGTGCCCCACTGGACAGTACATCTCATGGGCCTGACCTCAAGTGCATGCTTAGGGGGCAGATACGCAGCTCCTGGTGACAACTCGTGCACTGTGAGACCACCATGTACGGTTGAGGACTATTCTTTGCAGTATGAGGACTGTGATGCTGTGACGTGGAAGAGGACGGTACTCTCTTGCTATCGTGCGATGGAGCATATCTATACCATGTATAGGGATACTATGGGTGGTCATCCCCGATGGTCTGTGACCCGCTGTTGCCTGGGAGCGTGCCCCTCCCAACCGAGACCATCACGACAGCCTGTGAGGCCTGTCCAACAGGAAGCTACCTCGACCGTCAGGAGGGCCTCTGCATTCGGTACGTGGCTCTCCCATGAACCACTTTACAGATCTTAGGTGCCCGGCGGAGTTGGGCAAGATAGCTACACCCGAGGGCGGCTGTACAGGATGTCCTGTTGGGCAGGTGTGCACTATATCCATATCGAGTGCCAGTAGGTTTGGGGGCAGGTGCCTGCGATAGAGCTGGTAGTGGATTCATTCCCTGCCCTTTGGTCCCTTCCATTCCGGTTCCGAGGAGGGTCTTGGCAAGCCCGTCAGCAGTCCCTCGCGACAGAGGTCAGTCGTCAGCCCTAGAGCTTCCATCGTAGGCTGCCAGATAACAGAGCATCTCACGAGAGGTGTGGAACTGGTATGGAGGGTTGACATGCTGGCTCGAGGGGTCCTCAAGGTTAACTACTCAGTGCAGGCAGCGGGAGAGACTCCACCAGTCATTGTGGTACCGGGCACACCGCCTCTTCCCCTTCCTCCCTCGTCATCGTACAGGTCTTCTTCGGGGCTCGGGCTGGGCAAGAGCCTATGCGACTATCGCCATATGATGCAGGTAGAGGGGTCTTGGTTCCTTCCAAAGAAGTCACCGAGATATCAATACGATGTGAAGGGCCAGTCGGATCGAAGTAAGCGTGATGAGGACAAGGTTTACTGTAGGCCTTATCCTCACTATAAGGTTCACGTTCACATCCTTCTCCCTAACCTCTAGTAGAGGGGGAGGAGCTGCACACTGCCATCATTGTGAACCTGGCCAGGCCTTGATTGACAGCGCATGCCAGGAATGCCCTAAGGGGCACTACTCGTCTAAGGATGGTGCACCGTGCATACCCTGCAGTGTAAGAACCGAAGCGACCCCTGATAGTTATTTTGTAGTCCAGCCCAACACTTTCGCCGTCCATGAGGGGTCTGCAGCCTGCCTCCCGTGTCCTAATGGGATGGTCTCAGAAGAAGGAGCCGACTCCTGTACCATGGCCCTCGGCTCCGACTCTGTGATAGGCGCTGGTCTGTTCGATCTTAAGGCACTGAGTGCCAAGGTGCTGGGAGCCCCTCACTCTCTCTCTTACACCGAGCGGGTCGTGTAGATATCTGGAGAGTATGGGCCATTGGCTCTACCCGATGGTCGCGCTGTCTACTTTGATGCTATGGCAGGACGAGCTGACATTACCAAGACTGTCGTTGCCGGCAAGTGCGCGGCGTCAACTATGGCAGAGGTTGGGATCGGGAGGTGGTGGTCTCGTGGTCACGTCTTAGTTGGCAGGAGGGGCCAGACCGTGTGCCCATTGGCACGACCATCACGGAGGTGCGGGCCGCCAGTCATGGACTGGGCTTACTGCTCGTAGCGCCGGCTGAGGTTGGAGCATGCCAGAACATAGCCGTGGTGCGTGAACATCTCAGCCGGGATCCATGCCCCGCAACTATCCCCTTAGATTGACCTTATCTGTGACCCTTCGGTCGGTAATCAGTCTACCTATCCAGTCGCCACACTACTCCCATCAGCTCAAGAGACCCGTAGCCGGCCCGTCATCATCCTCACGTCCTGCCCCTTGATAGGTATCTGCAGTGGGCAGTATGTGGCTATAGAATGGCATCTGGCTGAGGCCTGCCGTCTCTGTTCTACTGAGGACTACGTCCGTACAGTCAGTGAATGCATCAACGGGACGCAAGAGGTGGTCGACAGGGCCATTCAAAGACGAGGGTTAACAACATGGCAGGTATCCTACGTGCTATCAGACAGTCTATGCATGGTACGCGACGGCCATCCTGCCGGCATCACATCCCAGCACTGTGAAGGCGGAGGACTACCCTGGTGAACATTGACCGTATACCAAGGCGTACCAGTAGTACTAGGTACCTGATAGCTGGCATCATCGCTGGCACCCTGGCTCTGATCTCGTCGTTACTCTACGTCCTCTACCTCCAACGTCGATGGAATGAGACCTATGGGGCCTACATGAAGTTGAAGGAGCACGTAGGCCCACAGCCAGGAATCGAACCTGTACGACTCCTTTTTGGCTCATGTCAATTGCATAGTGCAGGCGGAGGTGGGAAGGTCAGTCATCACTTACACTATGGAGGAAGGTCCTGATCCTTACACTACTCCTACATGATACCCATTACTCCTAGTTCCTGTCTCTAGCTCCTCTACAGTGCTCAGAGTACTCCTCTTGGGCGGCTTGTCCATCGGCAGATTACAAATTGTGATGTAAATGCTATTAGCCTTTCCTTTCGCCACCAAGGGCTCGCAAGGGGTGTCTACGCACTTGACGTGTATTCCTTGAGCGCTGCACCAGACTGTCCAAGGTGACTATTGGTCGACAAGGAGGAGGAGGAGGGCTTTACCGTAAGTCAACTCGATGGTGAGGGAGCCGTGCAGCACCCCGTTGAGCGCAATATCCCTGCCATGTTGGTGACAGATGCGTGCTACATGGTGGCTCTCTAGTTACAGCTAGTAATCGGCTCGAACTACGTCTCTGGTAAGATGTAACTGAGATGTTATCAGAGTGTCGATGCCGAGGCCTTGGGTCATGCTCAGCAAACCCTCGGGTTTATTGGACGAATATGGATCTTTTTCCTTTCTGAATTCAAGATAGGCATCCTTCGAGGAATACCATGGAAAGCCGTATTGATAACATGAGGGTAGACATGTTAACACGAGTTCCTTCCTCGTGGGATTCCTACTACTTATGGTTCCTATTCGTAGCCACGACATGAACTATCAACACAACGCTACTCGGGCTGAGGCTCAGCTGCTGAGTAATGTGGAAATTAGGGAGTTCAACTCCCGCATCGGGAATGAACGGGGCATTTCGTCCGTTTTGGCACCGAACGGGATACTCAGAGGACCGGTGCATGAGTCGCAACTGCTACTCTTAGGAGTCCCAGGTATCTGCGCTACATTGTGATCCCCTCTCATGAGGATCACTTCCCGATCAAAGCGGAGAACCTGTCACCCGCTTGCCCGCTGATATGAGTTTTGATAGATATCGATGTAAATGGAACGAATGGTGAGACCCGATGAGAAACACCATGCTAAGACGTGACTAACTATCCACATCGGTCTTTGTTGTGTGTAACGGGAGTACCAGCAACTCGTCCTTGCCCTTAGTCCTCGGGGTGTTGCAACATGCCGAAGTGAACAACAATTGGATTTGTAAAACAATAAGGTCACTGCGTGGACTACACACTCTCCTCAACTTCAACAGTTCGACTTTTGTGGGTAGAAGTATAATATGCCGAATTATGCTGGCCCTGGTTGGTCTACGAATTCAACATTTGATAGCAATGACACCGAAAGAGTCTGATATTCCGAATTGAGCTCGAGGAGCGATTGTCTTAAGTTTGTCGTTGAGTCGAACGAAATATTGCTCGCGATGATGTTGCTGCGATGAAAATAGGGAAGTCAATGCCGCACGGGAGTAGCCATCGAGGGCCGCAGATGAAGGGGCCTTAGTCGCGTGATGCGACTGTCTCATGATGAGACTCTCATCTTCTTCTCGATCTACTCATCAATCACAGCTCGAATTGACTCGGAATTAAACCAACAATACTATGAACGATGCGTACTGTCCTCGGAACAATAGACCCAGTATTCGAACCCCAGTCTATGCCTGTTAACACTTTTACGATGAATCTGATTATCCGCGGTCGAGGTTAGCTGAACGACCCAGCTGATACCACTAATCCCCTCTATGCGGCTCCTTAGTAGTAGCAACAAGAGCATGAATATGAGACATGGAAAGAGTGTACAACAGCATATGGGCCATGTGTGAGCAGTACTCCTCAGTAGACTCCCCTGACAAACTCTACTCCAATGAACTCATAATATACTAAATTATCGTAGGGAGCAATGGAATGGTATAGTGTTGTACAGTGACGTCAATACAGGCCTCACTCACCTCAGCCAACTACTAGAGTTATGAAGCTTGTGGTGGCACACCATTACCGACAGAAGCAGTGACAGAAGGAGGCGGAGGTGCCGCTACCGGCACTAGTCTAATCTTACGAGTCATGGGCTCATACTCCATCAAGTCACCAGGATTGCATCCCGAAGGGGGCTTGAATTTAACAGCTCCTTGATCCGTACTAAACCTCACTTTGCTGCCTGGTCGCCAACTATCGGGTATTCTTACTGTCACATAACTTGGAGTAGCCACCGAGTTAGGAATGCTTTCGGAAGGCGTACCGTCTGATGGCCTCTTCTCCTTCGCCGCAGCACTATCTCCTGCTGGGCTTACACCATCAACAGCCTCCTGCTTCTTACTAGACGTACCCCTTGCATTGCTTAGTCCCTCTACACCCCCATCATGAGCTTGACCGACTGCACCGCCTGGAGTAGTTGCCTGCCGTGTTGGTGATGATGATGGAGCCCTTTGCTGTCCCCCCATCACACCCGGGAGGACCCCATCACTGGCAAGGTCGGACCGCATTTGCGAGGCAGCCGCTGAATACCGCTGAGCCTCGGCCATAAGATCGGGACTAGTCGCGATTTTACTCGCCGACTCCTTCAACCTCCTCATTTCGCCCGCCATATGCCTCCCTGCGACTACAAGATCGGCATCAGCAGCTTTGAGAGCCCCAGCAGCGCCCATAAGGCTCGTATTAAGTTGACCAAGAACAAGTTGAGCCCTCCTAAAGGTGCTTAAACTCGATGTTAATATTCTACGATGAGCCTCGAGGGCCCTATCAAACTTCTCAGACGTGGATTTCGGCAGCCCCGCCAAACTGTGCTCGCTACCAATACTATTACGTTCCTTATCAGCTACATCCTGCATTCTTCCAACATCATTGGCAGCACTCGTTATAAATGCTGCACTTGAGTCCATAACTCTCCGTAGCCACGACATCCATTCATGAAGGCCTGTGGATGCATTAAGGCTCTCATTAGAGACATTCAGCCACCGTTGACGCCGCGTGGCCTCCCTCTCAAAGGCCCAGTACTGTGATAATAACGATGAACCTGTTGGAAGCATACACCACTTCCCTCTACTACCCTAGCCTACTACTACCACCACCTGGCGGTTTAGGAATAGATGGTCTATTGCTTGTTGAAGGAGAACTCGCTGCATTAGCCGATGAAGCTTTGGATTGGTGTGCCGCCTGGACCACCCGCCCCCTACGTATCGCCGTAACCATATCGGATTTCTCCAAGCAATAGGCAATATTGATACCCCGTTCCTATACAGTTACACATCGTCTGTTATTGACACTAACACCGACATACCAGTGCTAGAGCCTTAAGTTCAGGAATACTCAGATTGCTAAGACCATCGTCGCCACTATTCCCGGCATCTGATGGGGGGCTCACACCTAGTACAAACAATGTCGTCAGGACCGCGTCCCCGCTATATTACCCATCCCTTCAACGCTGCTCTCCATGGCTGGCGAAGGAGAGGCAGCACCAGCCTGCTCGTGACCATCAGGTGTGACGGTCTCGAGCTTGGCTCGCTTGGATGAGGGCTCGGAGGCGTTCGGTTCTGAGATGCATGGATGCATCCTTACAGTGCCACTAGTATTCGCAAGATGTAGGAAGTGTGGTAATACCAGCTATCCTCTTAGCATTGAACGGGACTGTGCCGCGTGAATAAAAGAAGATATGGTCGAACCTAAAGGGCCCTCAAACAGGAGGAGGGATGGATCAACTTACTGCGCTTTCTTAAGAGTATCCGACAATACGTCATAAGCAACCTTAATTTCTTGGAAGCGACCAATACCATCAGGACCTGACTTGTCGGGGTGGTACTTGAGGCACAACCTGAGGGCTATGATGTGGGCGGCAACAACAACAGTAGTAGTAGTAATACCGTCTAAAACTCCTTTTAATATCAGCAGGTGTAGCTGTCCTTGCATTCACCTCCAACACGTCATAATGATTCCGACTAACATCTACTCGTTTGCTGCCAATAAGGTTACCACTATTGCTTGCAGTAGTAGCCATTAACAAAAAGTAGTCTACCTGGGATCACTCTCGCATTGCGCATGTTACAGTTGAGGAAATGCAAGATCGGCCAAGAGTGCAAGTTGGCCTATCACAACAGTAAATCGACAGTCCTCTTTCCTCAGTGCAGCACCAACCCATCCCCTGTGTGGTAGAAAGGACGTTAACTCAATACCGACAGTTACCCTCCTAGAGACGGATGCTGTGGTGGCTACTACTACTAACAACAATAGTACATGCAAGGAAGGAGAAAAGAAGCAATGGTAGTATACAGAAATGCAACGGACGTAATAATGTACTTTACAGGCGGGAAAATTCAATCCACTAAAACAAATTCTTTCCCGCTCTCCTCCCGCACAACTCTCGGATGCCCTTCCTGTGGCGTTCGAAATGCTATAGGAGGCCGCTTTCGCACCCTTCGAGTTGGAGGATCGAACGTCATCAGATCCCCAGGACTGCTGCTCTCGGGCGGTATGAAACGGACTACACCATAATCAGTGAA